GGCCTGCTCGAGCAAGTCGATGAACAACGGGAGGACAGTGACAGTGATAATTGCCATGCAAAATATTTTCCTTTCATAGATGAATTTCAGCCATTTTAGAAGATGTCAGGTGAGCGTGATGACCATTAAAGATTTATGACACTGGCAGTGAAGAAAAAGATGTGCATTATAAAAGCTGGTTTTATTTCCCTTTGACTCTTCCCTCTTCATAAGACTGTAGAGCCTATTTGAGATAAATCTCATAAACTTTTGGAAATAAGGAAGCCCTGATCACTTCTCCCTCTACACTTCCCCTGACTTGACAGGACTGCTGTCTGGCTTCCCATCACACACATACTTTCACACTGGTGGTCTTTGTATGAGTAAAGATCCTATTCAAAATCACCTCACCTCTCAGCTTTCTGCCCTAAAGCTGTTTCTTCAGTGCTTCAAACTCTGAAAGTGTGATATTTCAACCATCATTATAGTTTTTTTTTTTAATTTATAGTTTCAAAAGATTATTGAGTGTCTGTTGCCAGCATAACTTCTGGCTGCCTACTTTAAGTACACAAAGAAGTATAAGATAGATGAGATAGTTTGTGTCTTTTCTAAGATTATAGTAATAGTGATGAATATGACCAAAATTTAGAAGTCAAAAAAGGTCAGATATCACAAGACTCATTGTCCAACTTAAAATATGGAAAGGGGTACTACACTGGGATCAAAGGAAGGAAGGAAAGATGTTGCCAGCTGGAAGGAATCCAGAAATTGGGATAGTCTGCTTTTTCGACAGTGAGTACAGTTAGTAGGCGAGACAGACTCTGTGGGTGAAGGGCGTGGATTTCAGGCAAAACACAAGTATGAAGTTAGCGAGCTGGGAAATTGCAAGACAGTTTTAGTTTGAACTCAAGGATGGACTAGTGTGGGGAGATTGTTGGAGTCAAACTACCACTTGCAAGTCAGTTCATGCTGCTCCTTTGCTTAGGATTTCTTTTCTCATTTAGAGAAAAAGTTAAAGCTTTCACAATGGCCCAAAGGCTGCTGTATAATCTGTGTCTTTCCCCCAATTCCCATTACTTCTTTATTTGCTTCCTTTTGTTTAGCTCTGCTGGGTTGTTGTTTTGGTTTGGTTGAGTTGGGTTTGTTTGTTTTTTAACTTGAATCAGGGCAAGAGGCCTACCTCCAGGTATTTGTTTTTCCTGCCTGGTTGCCTGGTATGCTCCTCTTGCAAAGGGCTTCTGGCTTATCTTTCACCTAAAGGGACTTACTGTTTCATCTCTGATATCCAGGACCAATGTCTAAAAATACCTTGTACTAAATAGCTTTAAGACATTAAATAGAGAGCAGGTCAGAAGAGAGTACAGTGGCATGCCTAGCATGCACCTATCTGGGGTTTGACTCGCAGCACCACGGGGTCCCTTCAGCACTAGTACGTGTAGGCCTGAAGGCCCCCAAGCTCCCTGGGTGGGGCCCTGAAGGACCTTAGCATTTCTGGGTGGTGTAGGCAATCCCTGGCACTACAAGCCCAGGAAGCATTGCACTGTCATGCCCTTGCATTGAATTCATGGCCTGGTTGGCCTAGAATAGGCTTTGAGGCTCTTTGAGTCTCTGAGCCCCTACCCTACCCCAAATGGAAAAATCAGAAAGGGAAAGGACCTGTACAGGGCTTTATATTCCAGACAAAGGAATCAATATTTAATTCATTAGTCAGTGGGCAACCTTTGAAAGATTTGAACAAAGGAGTAAAAGAAAAAAAAATTTATAGTATGGTTAAAATGCACAGGATAGACTTTTGAAAAATTTACATCAGTTCTTCATGCACCTCCCCCACCCCCACCCCACCCAGTTCATCACTACAGAACTCCTACAGTATTTTTTAAAATAACTTTGGGGTTTAGAACAGTGTGACTTCCAAGAAATTGCTAAAGTTGCTAAATTTCCTTCCTCTACTTTTCTCCCAGTTTGCCCCCTGATAGTATCTTATATTATTGCAGAATATTATCAGATCAGGAAAATGACACTGGTGTATCAGTTCAGTGCACCAGTGTCATTTTCCTGTCATTAAGGTACAGGCTTTAGTTGAATTTCATCAGACTTCACATGTATTTGCACCTGTGTGTGCATAATTCTATGAAATTTTATCACCTATGTAGAAATGTGCTTTTTTGACAGGTAAGACAGTGGGTTGGGCCACACCCAGCAGAGCTCAGTGCTTACTTATTCCTGTCTCTCTGCTCTGGAATCACTCCTAGTGGTTCTGGGGAACCATATGTGGTGCCAGAGATTGAAAAAGGGTCAGCCATATTTGAGTGCCTTCACCTCTGTATTCTCTCTCTCACCCAGAAATAGCTTTTGTTTCTACATCTGATTCTGGGCTTCTTGAGAAAGTGGCAGAATAACTGTTCAGTATCATTCTTCAAGTTCTTTGCCTCCCACATTGAAATTTCAATAAAATGAGAAGTGAATTATTATTTATTTTTCTATCTTGGTGTTTCTTGTGGCCTTTCTTATACAGATAGCCTTTTTTTTTTTCCTTTTTGGGTCACACCCGGCGATGCACAGGGGTTACTCCTGGCTCTGCACTCAGGAATTACCCCTGGCAGTGCTCGGGGGACCATATGGGATGCTGGGAATCGAACCTGGATCGGCCGCGTGCAAGGCAAGCGCCCTACCCGCTGTGCTATGGCTCCAGCGCCCCAGATAGCCTTTTTTTTAATCTCTAAAGGAGTGCAATTTATTTGATATTTTTCTACTTGACAATCCTTTATATTCTTTTCCATAGTAAAATTTAAATTTTAAAAACTATTAACAGTTTTATGAAGTGTTTTCTTTTGCCTAATTGTAATTGTGCTTTGGTAAGTAATCCATAATCTGGAAGAGTAGTAGGTGAGAAGATTAGCTTAAAATGTTTAAAGTTCTCCATGACATTGAAGCTAATGGTATCTTCAAAGATGCCATGCCACTGGCCGAGCAAGTGAAAACAGAGATAGATAAATGAGCCTATCTTAAACTATGAAGCTTCTGCACCTCAAAAGAAACAGTGACCAAAATACAAAGACAGTCTATAGAATGGGAAAGGATATTCGCCGAACACACATCTGACAAGGGGTTGATATCAAGGATATACAAAATACTGGTTGAACTCCACAAGAAGAAAACATCCAACCCTATCAAAAAATGGGGCAATGAAATGAACAGAAACTTTCTCAAAGAAGAAATCCAAATGGCAAAAAAGCACATGAGAAAATGCTCTACATCATTAATTATCAGGGAGATGCAGATCAAAACCACAATGAGATACCATCTCACACCTCAGAGATTGGCCCACATCCAAAAGAACAAAAGCAACCGATGCTGGCACAGATGTGGCGAGAAAGGGACACTCTTTCACTGTTGGTGGGAATGTCGACTGGTTCAGCCTTTCTGGAAAACAGTATGAACGATTCTCAAAAAATTAGAAATTGAGCTCCCATTTGATCCAGCAATACCACTCCTGGGAATATATCCCAGAGAGGCAAAAATGTATAGTCGAAGTGATATCTGCACTTGTTTGTTCATTGCAGCACTCTTTACAATAGCCAGAACCTGGAAGAAACCTGAATGCCCAAGAACAGATGACTGGTTAAAGAAACTTTGGTACATCTACACAATGGAGTACTATGTAGCTGTTAGAAAAGATGAAGTCATGAAATTTATATACAAGTGGTACAACATGGAAAGTATCATGCTAAGCGAAATGAGTCAGAAAGAGAGGGATAGACATAGAAAGATTGCATTCATCTGGGGAATATAAAGAAACAAAATATGAGATTGATACTCAAGAATAGCTGAGATCAACACCAGGAGGATTACTCCATAGCTCAGAGGCCAGCCAGGCATTCTAGGGGAAAGGGCAGCTCAGAGACGGGAGCACCAAATAAAGGGTGTTTGGAGGATCCTCCTAGGAGGGGAGATGCGTGTTGAAAGTAGACTATGGACTGAACATGTTTGCCACTCAAAGCCTCTTTTGCAGACCACAACACTCAAAAGGAGAGAGAGAACACAAGGGATTGCCCTGCCACAGAGGCAGGGTGAGATGGGAGGGATGGGGGTGGGAGGGATATTATCCATGGTGGTGGAAAATGGGCACTGGTGGAGGGATGGGTATTTGATCATTGTATAATCGAAACCCAAGCACAAAAAATCGTAAATCTACAACTGTACCTCGTGGTGTTTCACTAAAAATAATTTAAAAAATTAATAAAAAAAATATATATATATAAAAATATTTAAAGTTCTTTATTCACTCAAAAAAATAAACTTCTCTTTTAGATATCATGCTAACTATATATCCTTTACTAAAAGTCCACTTTATTAATTTAATATCTTATAGGACATATTATTCTTTTAACTTGTTTTTGTTGTTTTTGTTTGGGGGCATGCATACTCAGTGCTCAGGGATCACTCCTTGCAGGGCTTGAGGGAGCATATATGGTCCTGGGGATAGAACCCAGGTCAATCATGTGCAAGACAAGTGCCCTACTCACTGTGCTATCGCTCTAATTTGGGGGGGTTTTTTTTGGCTTTTTGGGTCACACCCGGTGATGCACAGGGGGTACTCCTGGCTATGCACTCAGGAACTACTTCTGGTGGTGCTCAGGGGGCCATTTGGGGTGCTGGGAATCAAACCCAGGTTGGCTGCATGCAAGGCAAATGCCCTACCTGTTGTGCTATCGCTCCAGTCCCTTGCTCTAATTTTTTTTAAACTTATTTGCAGACTTTCCAAAACAAAATGTCAAAGTTCTAATCAGAGTTTAATATCTGCCACTAGACTATCTATGTGTTATATTTATTTGGCTGTGTTCCATGTGATATATATGTATACATGCAGTATATGTTACATAATGTATTATGTTTTGTGCACACATATATCTGCATTGGTGATGCTCTTCAGGAGCGTGCTTTATTATATTCAAGCCTATTCTGATAACTGAAGGAAAAAAATAAAATCTATCTGAACTTATATGGTACATTTCTTACAGGTTCTGAGTTCTGTCCGCACAGAATGGGATCCAATGGATGTTTGCTTTGGCACCAAACACCCTTACCAAATCTTCACAGTTGAACACTCCATCAGTGCAGACAAAGAGTTCATGGCTGACAGCTGCATCTATGAATGTGTTTGGAACAAAATACGGTGTGTATCAGTCACCAGAATACCTCTAAGGTCAAAGGCCATTAGCTGCTGTAGGAGTGTTACAGAAGACAAACTGATTGTGGGCTGTGAAGATTCTTCAGTAATTCTTTATGAAACTCATCGTGGAGTGACTCTCTTAGCCCAAGCTGAACTTTTACCATCATTAATCAGCTGCCACCCAAGTGGCGCCATTCTGCTAGTTGGCAGCAATCAAGGGGAGCTGCAAATTTTTGATATGGCTCTATCCCCTATTAACATCCAGCTCTTGGCTGAAGACTGCTCACCCAGGGAGACTCTGCAATTCAATAAATTCTTTGATGCTTCCAGCAGTCTTGTTGAAATACAGTGGATAGCTCCTCAGGTTGTTTCACAGAAGTCTGAAAGAGGGGAAATCTGTGATCTTCTCTTCCTCAGATTTGCCAGAGGACCTTTGGGTGTACTTTTGTTTAAACTTGGTAAGTAAAGGAAGCTGGTGAGTAGGCAAATTGATTATGATTTTGTTATTATAATTAAGATAATTATTCCAAGAATAACTTTATTAGTTTCCTACTTGTCATTCCCTGAAATACCTTTCAAACATTTCATATAGTTTTCTTAAGAAGTCTTGTGGGTGATTTTTGAATGTCAAGGAACATTAGATATTGAATAATTTGAAATTACTTTGTTGTATTTTATGTTCACATTTGATATGATCAAAATTAATTTCTTATGTCTAAATTCCTTAAGAAATGGGTCCGTGAAAACTTAAAAAGCACTTATTACGAAGAAGTTTTGTGTTGTAGGAATGCTTTTTCTATTAAAATTAGATTATTGGGATTCTTTGCTTTCTAGATTGATTGTGTTAAGTGTTATTTTTTAAAGAAAGAAGATAGTATAATTTGCTAAATATATTTGTAATATGTATTTTGCTTTCCTTTTGGATAAACATATCAAAATGAATTCTCAATACAGGTTACTAATGATAGAATACTTTGAGAACTACATTGTTAAACAGTTTTTTTTCTTGTGTGAACATGTTGCTTTCTAGACACAGGCTATATAATGGGCCACTGTTGTTTAAGTGGTTCATCACTGACTAAAACATCCCTTCATGGTATATGACTGTATGCCCACTTCAACCAGGAAAGCTTAAAACAAAGTTTTATTATGAGAATTCATTTGCCTTTTGTAGTTTTGCATTATCATCAATACATTTTCTGTTCTTAAGATAACCTCATTTAAATTTTTCAGAAACTAATTTTACATAAGAACAGGAGAACTAAGTAGATTTTAAAAACCTCAGAGGATTTGACTCTGTGTTACAAAGCTAAGTTTTTGCTTCATCTAGTTGTCCTAAAACTAAATATATACAATAAATCTATTTTAATCTAGTGAAAATAACTTAATTCATTTGAATGATATAACATTATTCTATATTGTTTAATAAAATGCACAAAATTTATTCATAATGTTAATATTAAGTACTTTACATGAATGGACTCTCAACTATTAAAAAATAATTCAGTTCTGCTTCCCCATATATATGTTTAAAGTTGACTCCATACACAACACTTAGCTAAAGACATTTACTTTTGTTCAAACATGCATGTGTGATTCTGTGCATTCATTCTCTCTCTCTCTCTCTCTCTCTCTCTCTCTCTCTCTCTCTCTCTCTCTCTCTCTCTCTCCCACACACACACCCTCAGTCACATCCTCTAGATTGCCTAGTTACCTGTCAAACAGCAGGCTGTCTGCCCACATATACCTACCTTTCCTTCAGCTCTCCCAATGGGCCTACTCAAAACAGCTTTGCAAAAAGCACAGTTTTCTCTTCCTATCTCTAGCACATTTGCCTTTCTTACTAAAGTAAACAGGCTCTCAGTGTAGGGATTTAGAGGGCTTCCTGCTAATTGCCAGCTTGTAAACTTAATTGGACTGTCTCCCTGGGCGCTGTTCCTAAATCAATTAGGCAATGAGTTGGCTGTCACCTCTTTTTCCCAAGAAGGTCTCTTGGAAGAGAATTATCCAATAGAAGACAAGCATTCACATGAAAAGGTGATAACTTTTGTAACTAACATTCATCATTTAAATTTTATTTTCAATATAACTTTTTAAAAAGGGCTAAGAAATTTTGTCTTACTCTTTAAAAGATTTAAACATGGAGTTTCTCAGTTTCTCTTATTTTTAGTGTACTATAAGATTTTAATGTTCAAGTAATTCTTTTCCTCAGAAGAGTCGAATCCACAAAAATAGTAGATTCCAAATAATACTTTTTGTTTAAAAGAAAATGCTACTCAAAGAACAGACTTTAAAAGGATCTGCTACTAAATACATCCAAAAAATTTAATGTACTTCTTGAATTAACACAGTGATGTTTCTGGGCATCCATGTGGAATTTTTATGTATAATTCAAGTTACTGCATATATAAACAGGTAATTGCATGTACCGTTTCCCCATTAGGGAACATTTATTAGGTTCTTTTTTTTTTTTCAGTTGCTTGTTGTGCAAGCCTTTGGAAAATTTGACATGAAAGGTGTAGCTTGCAATTCAGAAGCTAAGACAGATCATAGTTTTAAATAGAATACTGTCATATGTAAACACTGCAGTAGTTGATGCCATTATGTTCAGATTCTTTTAAAGGCTAACTCTTAGTTTGGGTCAGTTTAGTCTTGGTAGAAGAAAAAGCCTTCTAAGATTGTGGCTTCTATTCTGGTTCCTTCTAATCATCATGCACATGTGTTGGGGATTAAAAGACCACCATACTATTATTAGAAGAGTATGAGAAACATCTTCCTCAGGAGGAATCTCAAAGTATCACCTTCCCAAAGCCTGATGTTATCAGAATTCCATTAGTTGCCAACTATTTCATATTTCACATATAAAGACTAAACCTCTGGGGCTGAAGAGATAGTAAAGTGGGTAGAGTGCTTGCCTTGTGTGTAGTTGACTCAGGTTGGATCCCTGAAATTCACTATGGTCCCTCAAGCACCACCAGGAGTGATCCCAGAGCACAGAACCAATAGTAACCCCTGAGCATTTCCAGGTGTGGCCCCAAAGCAAAACAGAACAACAACAATAAAAAGATGAAGATTGAATTTAAAAAGTAGAGGTCCTAGTGATACTGATATTATTTAGTTTTTCATTTTCATCAGAAACTTTTCTAATTTTCATGGCTCTTTTTAAGTGCAGATATCACCTCTGCCCTCTCAGCAGATGATTTTGTCCATTAGATTTACCTGCTTCTCACCACATACCCACTAGTTAACTGAATCACTTATGCCCATGTATCTTTCCTTATTATTTAGTGGAAAAGGTTCCCTTCTTTTCCAAGACTAGCACTACCACTATTTCCATTCTGCACCCCACATTCTCATCAATTACTTTGTCACCCTCCCCATATTCTTCTCTTAAATCTTGCTAATCAAGTGGCCCAAAGTCATGTTATTAAAAATTAAACTCTTTCTTAAAATTTTCTCCTTTTATTAATCAAATGTTTATCTATTATTAAATCTTCTAATTGAAATAATAGTTAACACTGATTTCTTTGCCGCTTCATTTTCCATTTTCTTTTCACAGCACACATTCTGGTTTCAGTTTTATCCCGGAATTGCTTTTAGAAAAGTGACCAGTGTCTCCCTACTTGAGATAGATAGATAGATAGATAGATAGATAGATAGATAGATAGATCTAATTAGATATATATTTCTGTTATGTTGCTTGATGATTTTTCAATAATTGATTGCTTAATTCTTCTACCATCATAAGAATCTCATTGTACTTGCCTTAACTGACCCCTGAAAGCAACTTTTTAAAAAAATTTTTTCCCTTTATTTTATTTTTTTTTAAAGTTGTAGATTTACAATTTTTTGTGCTTTGGTTTCGATTATACAATGATCAGATACCCATCCCTCCACCAGTGCCCATTTTCCACCACCATGGATAATATCCCTCCCACCCCCATCCCCCCATCCCCCCTGTCTCTGTGGCAGGGCAATCCCCTGTGTTCTCTCTCTACTTTTGGGTGTTGTGGTCTGCAAAAGAGGCATTGAGTGGCAAACATGTTCAGTCCATAGTCTACTTTCGACATGCATCTCCCCTCCTGGGAGGATCCTCCAAACATCTTTTATTTGGTGCTCCCTTCTCTATCTGAACTGCCCTTTCCTCTAGGATACCCGGCTGGCCTCTAAGTTATGGAGTAATCCTCCTGGTGCTGATCTCAGCTATTCTTGGGTATTAATCTCATACTTTGTTACTTTATATCCCCCAGATGAATGCAATCTTTCTATGTCTATCCCTCTCTTTCTGACTCATTTCGCTTAGCATGATACTTTCCATATTGTACCACTTGTATGTAAATTTCATGACTTCATCTTTTCTAACAGCTACATAGTACTCCATTGTGTAGATGTACCAAAGTTTCTTTAACCAGTCATCTGTTCTTGGGCATTCAGGTTTCTTCCAGTTTCTGGCTATTGTAAAGAGTGCTGCAATGAACAAACAAGTGCAGATGTCACTTCGACTATACATTTTTGCCTCTCTGGGATATATTCCCAGGAGTGGTATTGCTGGGTCAAATGGGAGCTCAATTTCTAATTTTTTGAGAATCATCCATACTGTTTTCCAGAAGGGCTGAACCAGTGGACATTCCCACCAGCAGTGAAGGAGTGTCCCTTTCTCACCACATCCACGCCAGCATCGGTTGCTTTTGTTCTTTTGCATGTGGGCCAGTCTCTGAGGTGTGAGATGGAATCTCATTGTGGTTTTGATCTGCATCTCCCTGATGATTAATGATGTAGAGCATTTTCTCATGTGCTTTTTTGCCATTCGGATTTCTTCTTTGAGAAAGTTTCTGTTCATTTCATTGCCCCATTTTTGGATGGGGTTGGATGTTTTCTTCTTGTGGAGTTCAACCAGTATTTTGTATATCCTGGATATCAACCCCTTGTCAGATGTGTATTTGGTGAATATCCTTTCCCATTCTGTAGACTGTCTTTGTATTTTGGTCACTGTTTCTTTGGAGGTGCAGAAGCTTCTTAGTTTAAGATAGTGCCATTTATCTCTCTCTGTTTTCACTTGCTCGGCCAGTGGCGTGGCATCTTTGAAGATACCATTAGCTTCAATATCATGGAGGGTTTTGCCAACTTTATCTTCAATGTACCTTATGGTTTCTGGTCTGATGTTGAGGTCTTTAATCCATTTTGATCTTACTTTTGTACATGGTGTTAGGCAGAGTTCTGAGCCTATTTTTTTGCATGTAGCCGTCCAGTGATGCCAACACAATTTATTAAAGAGGCTTTCCTTACTCCACTTCACATTACTTGCACCTTTATCAAAGATTAGATGAGCATATGATTGAGGGGAGATGTCAGTGTATTCAACCCTGTTCCATTGGTCTGCAGTTCTGCCTTTGTTCCAGTACCATGCTGTTTTAATTATTACTGCTTTGTAGTACAGTTTGAAGTTAGGGAGGTTGAT